CTCAATTTACACTCACTACCTGCAATCCCGCCTTCCTGTAAGCTACCGATGTCGACTGATAGACTATTTTCCCGTCATTTTTATTGAGCAATTTAGAAATATCATGATCATTTATATAAAGCAAATACAATTCTGCTATCCATTAACCTTGTTTGCAAATAGACACTGCAGCATTTGGATGAAAACAATCCCCTTGGGCCCTGCGTACCCAGCCGTGGATTCTGCTCAGTGTGTGCGCCTCTGACGTCAAGCATCAGCAACCAAGAGCAGCTACACCCACGAGCCTCTGATGTCCAATCTACTGTATCTAATTCACAACAGGTTACAACAAATTCAGCCCATGGAAGGTAGCTGACAGACACGACTGTGTAATAAATGGGATCACATGTTAAACACTTCAGCCTTTCCACAGATGTAGGACTGCATACAGTATTAGAAACAGATGCCTGTGTAGATAAGCAATCTGACCTTTGATTAAAATTTGTAAATAGAATCAGGACATCTTTTAATTTTACTGGCTTATTTCATTTCTAAACAACGCATTTTTATGGCTTGTTCTGGTACACGTCCAGCACATTTCATTTTTAGGTCTTGATTCATTTCCTGGGTTAAACCACAACCAGGGGCAGAAATTGTAAAGCGCTTTGGAAAAGCTGTATTTTGCAATGTTTTTGACATAATCAAAATCAGCAAGAGCTAGAAATGTTCCAGAAAAGTATACTCACATTGCACACTCACAGCAGTCTGCCTAAAATTTCAGAATCGAGAAACCACTCTTGGAATAAAAAGCAATGGGCTGAAGTGAAGGGAATTTCAGGGGGAGGTTTTAAGTGAATCTTCCTAACAGTATCTGAGGTACTGGAAGGGATAACCTAGGATCACCACAGATGTTCACAAGACAGGTTAGGCAAACACATCACAAACAGAAACAAAGTACAAGGAACACAAGACTGATCAAGGCTGAGCTGAGAGGCCCCCTCCAGCTCTCTTTTCTTACAATGACAGCAGCATGACAACTAACAATATTTTCTGATAGAGTTCCCATCTGAACTCTTAGTACAGCAGCAGTCTTGCTTATCCCCAAATCCTGCTGCTTTCAGAACACTCTCCAAAAAGCAGAAGCAGTATGACAGACTCCAGCATCCTCAAATGTTTGGTCTGCAAGGTTCCAGTTCTCTAACTTAAGGGAGAATCCTCAACTTGTTTTCATGAATCTGTCCCCACACAAATAAATGCTGGCTCCTGATCATTTCTACTGGCTGTTGTTCCTAATTCTGGAAAGCCACTGGACAGTTCAGTATGAGAGACCAGGACTGGGTAATCATGGACTTCCACTAGAAAAATAGCAGTAGTAAGAAGTGTAGTAACAATAAATCCCCTTTTCAGTATAACGTGCTGTGCTTTACTTCTCATGAAGATTGTTAGAACTCCGGTGTAAAATTTAAAATAGCACTTTACAGTGGAAAACATGATGAGTTTAATTGCAGTAGAGCAAATGATGCACTTAATAGGACATTGATATCTCCTCTCAGTTAAAAAAGCAAGAAACCATCTGCAAATGTTTACGTATGAAATCCAGCATAGGGAAAACATTTGCAGTGCAGAACAAATAATTGAAAACGAAATTGCAAGATAAGGTGTTTGGGCGGAGGGAAGCAACGCAGTGAGGAAAAGCCACCCCCATGACTGCTGGTCCTTTCTCCTCCCTGCTCACTGCTGTTTGCCTCTTCTTGGATTCCAGAGCTTTATTCCTCGGCAGCCTTTCTGCAGGCTGGTGGATTTGATCACGGTCGGAAATTGTGAAACTGTGGTTTGTTTCAACAAGAGAAGAGAGTTTAAATACAGCTTCAGCAGCAGATGGCTCTGCTTTGGAATCTTTTATGCACAAAGGAGATGTGTTTGCTGGCTTTGTAATCAGCTCAAAAAGGGAAAAGAAATTTTGTTAACGACAGAGTGGATACAACTCGAATTTTTCATCAGGTAAGAAGTCAGAGAATCTATAAACTAGTGAAAAGCTACTAGGATATGTCTCCTAAAGGACAACTGTAGTCTGTACATCCTATATTTAAAATTAAATGGAAAGTTTCATTCAGATTGCAATACTTTGGAATTTAAAGGACAGATGACGTTTGCAACCAAGACATTAACCGGTCACTTTGAGGGGATGGAACTATGCATTTTAGGTAAGAAAATACTTAGAAAGCCTTTTAAAAACTTCTGCTAGTTTAGACTATGCTGTAATTTTTTCATTTCATACGTTTCAGTAATGTTTCTGCACCTAGAGGAATGAAAGAATCAGGCTATGTGGATTATCATTTCTCACAGTGAACTCTCACTGTCTACAGGAGAGAATCTTTTCTGAAATGCATGGATTAGGGGCTGAAGTAATCAGCAGAGATGAGTTCTCTCCTTAAACACTGCAATCCTGTTCTGACATCAGCTGTAATTGCAGTTCAAGGATTCTTATTCTGCTAATATTTATCAGTTTTAAAAAATACCAGTCTGTATTACACAGTTCAACATGCTGCAGTGAGTTCAGGTGTAACTCATTTTTCTAACACTACGAGTACTCCAGATGTTTAAACAAGACAGGTATAAGCGTTTCATTGTCAAGGAAATGTTTGAATTGCCTTTCAGAATGACATGCGTTAAAGTGAGCACTTTTTAACTCACAATATGCAGCAAACAGTGAAAAGAAATTGATCTTTCTTTTTTTTGAGTAAAGAATGACAACGTGGATGATGAGCCTGCTTAAAGCTAATGTACTGAGTGCGCTGCCCAGAAGGCCAGCATGGGGATTTGTCCTCAACGGCAGGCGTTGCCAAGGGGAGCCCCATGGCCACAATGAATTACTGGCAGAGGACACACAACCCTCACTCCCAAACTATCTTTTGCAGTCATGGATAAACAAGTGAGAGGAGCAAAAGATACATAAAATATTACAAGTATGGCTCAGCCTCATGACCTCCTCGTCCCTGCAGCTTCTCCTGCTGACATAAATAGCAGGAAAGAACAGAGCTTGTCTTTCAGGGTATCTCTTTCAAAGCCAGAGCCCCTGCTAACACCTCATCTTTTCTTAAACAGCAGCTTTCAGGCTAGCCAGGTGAACACTGCAGGCAGTGCAAAGAGGAACATCGCCACTGGGACAAAGCAGCCAGGCACTGGACTCTTACACATCTGGAAGTGACAGCAAAGCTCATCAGGGCAACAGGCTCCTTGTCCTTCCAGCACATGCATTCTGCTTATGAGAAATCCAGCTAGGCAATTTGTGCAATTCTAGGGAGAAGCAGTTTGCAGTGCATTCCAGGAAATACGTTCCTGCTGACACCAAGGCACATCACTGATTTGTGCTAGCTTCAGAATTCCTTCACTTTTGCCTGAACTCAGAGGACTTTTTCCAAGTCAGTGCACACCAATTAGGGTACGCAGCTCTGCTCCTGCTCTACTGGGCTCCAGACACCTGTGAGAGACTACAAAGTCCAACCAACGGCCCTTAAAGCCTTGTTGACTGAGTTCTTATGCCATTCCCCCACTATAGCTGAAGCAGGGCCAACTGGCCCCATTCAAGAAGACTCTAACGTTAGAGCCTTACTACATATTAAGGCATAGTTGGAACATCAAACCACATATGGGCACATAGATCTACAGCCACTTCTCATTCTTGCATGACTAAGTAAAATACACTATTAAGGTATATTTTAATCAGAAGGACAGTGATAACAGATTCTACAAAGGCTTGTTTGTTTTTTTGAACAAACAATTTCAAATTCTTAATTTGAAGAACACAAAGCAGAAGTACGAGAACAAAGCAGTTCTGGATATAACTTTATGTGCAATATTCTTTGGGTAGCTGTAGGAAATGAAACAGCTATAAAATCATATTTTCCAGTTTACTCTTGGACTTGCACAAGGCACCAAATAGTTTTTATTCCCTAGTGATTAAATAGCAGCAATCATTTCTGTAAAAAGGCTGATGAAACTTATACATATAAAAATTGCTTTTAGTAATAATAAAATGTCCACCCATCCCTTCCTCTTTTTGCATTTTCTCTAACATTCCAGTGCTTCTCCATCCCATTCTCTCCACAGGGCTCACAAAAGCTATGGCATTTATTACTAGGGACGACAACTGACCTTCTTCCAGCAAGTTTTCCAATAATTCCTACTTCAACAAGGAATTATGGTGAGTTAATGGCTGAGTTTTGAAAGTTGTATGCATAGCATATATCAACCCATCTTTAAATTTCAAAACTAACTCCTACATCCTCCTTTTTCACTTCTCTAGGTTGGAAACAAAGTCCTTTTCTGGCTAGAAAGCTGGTGAGCCTTTGATTTCAGATTAACTTTTTAACTCAGTGATAAATTCAGACCCACCGAGATTTTCTGCTGAAGCCAATTCTTCCCATTACTATTAGTTTCATAGCAGCAGAATTGTATCCATTCTTTGCCTGACAACCGTTAGAACTGAAAAAAGAGTCCACTCTGTATCTCTGGAGTACGTTATATTTAATCACAGAAAATGTTGGGGGTATCATTTGACAGCCTTGTACAAGGGTGAACAGAGTGCAGGGAAATGAAAAACAATCTCTGGATGGGAAACAATCAGGTGTGTAACTAAGATGTGATCTTTGCATAGTTAATGCTTTTCTCAAATTAGGTTGAGGAAAAAAGACATGCTATCTCTAACATGCAAGCAAATCAAGGTACTCCCTTAAAGATGTCATTCACAGAGGTGTTGAATAGCACTTAAGCTCAAGGTGCATCATTCTGGATTAAACCAGAGGGATTTGGTGAATTAGTTCACACTGCTTTGTAGTTTTAGAGAAAATATGATGTCTAAACTAGCAATGCAATGGCAGGTTCCAATTCTTCATTCTTCTGATAATAAAAAAGCAACAGACTGCTCTCACTGGAATTCCTCAAACCTTGCTATATCTTTGGCTGAGATCTTAAAATGTTTAATTTTGAAAAGCAACATTTATCTGTTAGAAGAAGAGGATTTGTATGAAAACGTTCACGCAGCGTTAAACAGAGCTGTCACTGCTATTTCTCAAACATCACAGTCACAGCTAACAGTCGGTACAGAGCCTTAGAAAAGGAGGCTCAGCCTCCACCCACCTTTCTGTACAAAGCCGCTAATATGACGCCATTTGCTTTTCTTTTCAGAACTCGTCAGTGCAGTAATTACATCAGATTTGCTTTAAACTTCAAGGACACCAAATACAAAGATTTCATCTTTGTTTTTAAAGATTTAATTGCCGCCTTGTGAAGCTCCAAGAAAAACATCTTCTAAGTACCAAGGAGATGGACGTATTCACAGATGCAAAACCTTCCTAGCTAGGTGTTACCCACAGTCTGGGAAATGCTTCACAATGGATGAAGCCGTTCGGCATCCTTCAGAGATTTTACCTAATCAAACTATGCCAAACAGCAGTTATTCTCACTTTTTGAACTTTGATACATGTCAACCTTCCTTCCCTGCAGTATTCTTGCTTATTACAGCCTACATATTAGTTACAATGGTGGGGCTTTTTGGAAACCTTTGCCTGATTGTTATAATAAAGAGACAGAAAGAAGCTCAAAATGTTACAAACATTCTGATTGCCAACCTCTCCTTATCGGATGTGTTGATCTGTATCATGTGTATTCCTGTCACAGCTGCATACACTTTGATGGATTACTGGATATTTGGGGAAGCTATGTGTAAAATAAGCTCTTTCATACAAAGTATATCTGTCACAGTCTCCATTTTCTCACTTGTACTGATTGCTATCGAGCGATACCAGTTAATTGTAAATCCTCGTGGCTGGAAGCCTAACACCTCACATGCTTACTGGGGAATTATTTTCATTTGGGTTTTTTCACTCATGATATCCATCCCTTTTTTAATATTTCACCAACTAACTGATGAACCCTTCAAGCACCTGTCCTTCCACAGCGACTTCTACAAGAACAAAGTGGCGTGCATCGAGGCCTGGCCTTCCATTACAGAACGGCTGATTTTCACCACCAGTCTGCTGCTTCTCCAGTACTGCTTCCCCCTGGGGTTTATCCTCATCTGCTATCTCAAGATATTTGTATGCCTCCGGCGGAGACACAGTAAAATAGATAGGATGAGAGAGAATGAGAGCAGGTTGAGTGAAAACAAAAGGATTAATCTGATGCTGATATCAATTGTTGTGACCTTTGCAGCTTGCTGGTTGCCTCTCAATATATTCAATGTTGTTTTTGACTGGAACCACGAGGCGCTGATGAGCTGTAATCATAACCTAGCATTTACACTGTGCCACCTCGTGGCCATGATCTCAACATGTATCAATCCCATCTTTTATGGATTTCTCAACAAGAATTTTCAGAAGGATTTGATAGGGCTTGTTTATCACTGCAGGTGTTCAGCATCACAAGAGGAGTATGAAAACATCGCCCTTTCAAATCTGCAAACTGATGTGTCCAAGGGATCTCTGAAATTAAACAACCACCCTCCTGACAATGCCCAAAATAACCCAGAAGCATCTTCTAAAATTTTGTATCTTGCTGCAGATGACCTTCTGTAGCTCTTCATCCTGGTACCTCCTCATCTAACTGAAGTTAGAGGTGGTCCTTGCTATTTCATTCAGCACAAACAGAATCGTGTAAGGTGTACTTCCCAAAGGTGTACTGCTAACAAGCACTTTATGATGGTGTTGATGCCAATAAACCATTTCCAAGAGACTTAAAGAACAATGAATATCAACAGTGTTAACATCTTATCTTTTAATCCACAATTTCCAGGTCACCGTGAAAGTATTTCCATCGATGCAGCTGTCCTTCCTACACAGCTGGCTTTGCCCAAGTAAGCCATCAATACTGAGGTCTCCTCAACTTCAGTCTTTTTATAAACTGATTTTTGTCTTTTTAATTTTCCAGCCCTGCACCATCCCCATCTCCAGTACATCGTTACTTTGCACAACAACTTATAAGTAGTTTTTACTGAGAGGAAGGCCCCTCAAGTTACCCTAAGCCTTCAGTAGTGCCTTCCTTTCAGCTCCAGCACAGTTTGCTTTGCTTTTGCACCGGTTCAAACTGTAACTACAAACTGTAACTTAACATGAGAAAATGTTAGTTGGAATTTCTTTTTTTTTTTTTCCCTTTACTTTAAATGAGCACTAAACCAAGCCCCATTTGCTGTGCTGCAGATTTGCATCAGACCTCTGCTGATCAAGACAAAATACGTATTTAGTGTTTCTCCTAAAAGCATTTGCATTCTCCTCAAAACCACCAGTACAGATCATTGCTTTCTCTGTTACCATCATCTCTGGTCTCTAAAACTGACCTAGAATCTCCATTATGAAATAGACATGCTATGAATTCAAAGTAAATTGTTTCTGCTAATTATCCAGATTATGGGTTTCTCTTTTAATAGAAAAAATAGCTTTCTGCTTTAATTTCCAAAATATCATTGCCATATCTCTGCAATAGCCAGAGGTCCCGCCTGAGGCATTTGCAGTTGTTTCTGTTTGACTATGGTTGAAAAGAGCTTATAGAATCCTTAGAGTTGGAAGGGTTGGAAGCTTCTTCTGTTGTGCAATGTATGGAAGCCTGAAGATGTAGTACTGAATGCAGCTTCTCTCAAATTAAAACATAATAAAAGTCATTTTCTGGAGTGGTCATAAAAATTAATGAAACCTATTCCTCAACCATGCGATATTGCCAACATAAAAATCAGCTAAAATTCAGCTGTTTAAATGATACACTTTAGTCCAACAACCCACTGTCCTAGAAATCAACTTGCTTTCTCTTGTTCAAGCTATAAGAAAAACACTTGGTTGACAACTGCTTCGTGCTTCCCCCTGAGCAAGATCTCATTGAAACCTACCAGGGCCTGATCCCACTGAAGTCATAAGAGCAGTGATAGTTGCAAGAGTAAGAAACTATTGACATGGAAATCAAGTACATGAGTGACAGGTATGAATTAAGTTTGGCATAATATAGCACTTTTCTTCTAATTAGATCAAATATAATGCACGTGAAGTAGAGCACATAAACAGCTACAGCTCAAACATCTGCTTTCTGCATTACAGAAGGAAAATCGGGAGAGAGCTAAATGCCTAGTAGGGGCTAATAATCAGCTCTCAAGAGTATCTTACTATTAATGGTTCCCATTAATTACAACCTTCAGTCAGCTCAATCACTGGGCTCCTTTCACTGCTGATCCACACCATCTGCTTGCCCAGCACAACCGGCGCTGAACCAAGCAGAAAGCGATAACCCAGCCAGCAACACTGAGACACATCGCGCAGAAACAGAGGCGCTGGTGTGTATTTGCAGTTGGTCAAAGTGAGGATTTAGAATCTGTTCTCTGCTGGGTAAGACTCCAAGGCAATGAAATGATGAATTAACTCCATTTCACCTGCTGAACTGAGAGCAAATCTGATTCAGGAATTTTGCTTTCTGTGGAGGTCCCAGTGCCCCATGCAGAACGCCATCACATCATTCAGGCCGTTCACAAGACAAAGACTGTAACAACTTACAGCAGCACACCTACTACAGGCTAGGTTACCTTCTCTGAGGTTGAAACACATCTCAACTGCAGTCTTTCCCATACCTGAGCACAGCAATAACAGCTCAGGACTGCTGACTGAAGCGATTCACAAGCACATGACATCTACAATATGCTCCACTTCTTGTGTATTCAACACAAGAGTTAAGAATGCTCTCTTCTCACTGTGGCACACATCTCAGATAGTATTCAGGGTTTGAATGAGGTCCAGCTCAGATTCCCAAGTGTGACTTTGGCCCAAGCATCCCCTGTGCCAGTATTACCATCTCACAGCCGTGCTCAAGTGTGCTTAGTTTCACAGTAGAGGTGTTTTCAGTGGTTTAAATACAGCCATGGAATGAACACTAGTCTAAATCACATGTTCAGAGGGCCAGCAGGAACTCCTGTGACCCTGAGAAGGCCAGGACTAACGGATGCTCCCTGACTGTCCCTCTGTAAGTGCTTTGGCAGTTCATATTTCTGACATTAAACAGTTAAAGAAAAAAAAAGGTTCCTATTGCTTTTTGTGATATCAGCTGTCTATTCCTGTCATCTTGATCAGGGTTAAGCAATCCATTTTTTCAGTCTGATCCTCAGAATAAGAGGTTCTTCATTACCAGGTGGAAGCTCTCTGAGCAGTGAGACTGCTTCAGACCAATGTGAATAATAACACTTGTGCCTTGATTTCTTTCTTGCTCTCCTCACACTTTCATTTGATTCAAGTGCTGGTACTCCATTTCAGTTCTGAGCTTTCAGTTATCAAGTATCTCTTAATGCTGTGCTTACAAAAATCACTGCTAACAGAACAGAACACCATCACCACCCTGAGGGTATCACCCTCAGTGCTGAACCTTCTCTCACCACATCCACTGACTTTGTATGCAGCCTGATATCTAATTTCCAGACAAATCAGTAGGAGGGAACTGACTTTAATAGGAATAGAATCAGATAACAATTAATCAGATCACAGCTTCGCTTTCCATAATACTGTTACTTGATGTAACCTCACATCACATGGGGAGCAGACACATGGATCACACACAAGGAGCTGGCTAGTTCAGCTACCTGAACTCACAGACACCATCCAAATGTACAAAGAAATTCTTAGCAGTGATGAGGGATTAAATAATGAAAAATTGCATCAGGACACACTTGAGGTGGTTCGGTCACAGACCATCTCCATATATTTATAAAGAACCATGTAAATTAATATATCCTTACATATCTTCTACTTTATGGTTCATCAGTTTAACTGTAAACACATGTAACTAAAGTTAGATACCTGGAAAACAGCGTTTATTGTGAGAATGATTCTGCAGAACAGAGAACCTGGTTGATCATTGATTGCAATTATGTGTGTGTACAAAAGCAGTGCCACTGCTGTGCGTTATTTAAATACTCTGATTCCTCCTGTCTGCTGACAACCAGCACCTGTAAAATACTGTCACATTGCCCAGCTGCTGAATATTATTGCTTATATCAGTAGGACAGTTCTGATGCAAACAGCTCTGGAAACTGCTTTAGCATTTCATATGTTCACTTATTAGATGAACAGAAACCAGTGACAAGAGAGATATTTGCTTTTTCTAGGGGAAAAGGAATTCAAAGCACTGTAAACCCTCAGTATTATAAACGCTTAACTAAAACCAATGCAAACAGCTGAAGAGCATTCTCAGGGCTCACAGCACTGCCACCCCTTTTGGTGAAGATGGACAGGATCATAAAGCAGGGAGCTTTCAAGGGAATTCATGACTCAAGGGCAGAGCACCTTTTTACTGTGGCACCTCACGATTTGCACTCAGATATCACCAGTTTGGAATACTGTTTTTCTAGATGTTTTGCAAGGATTTCCGATTTGTCAGAGTGGAAGTTTCCCTTCAGTAGCTCAGAAAACATTATCTGCAGAACAAACTGTGCAAGAGCTTTTCCAAGTGCTGCCCTGCAGCCCAACTGGTACATATTTGCTATGAAAGGAGCTTCTACTATTGTGTTTTAACCCCCTGAAATCTAAACAGGGAAAAAGTCTTTTGGTTTTTCTTGTTTGGGCCAAAATCTCCACATTTCCCATTATCACTATTTATTCCCACAAATGATAAAAACCCCTGGAATGCTACAATGGGAAGAAAAGTTGCCACACTATGCCTCCACACTGTTGTAAATGCATCACAGCCTTTGAAACCTTTATATTCACATCTCCACAACAAAGCAGAACTCACCTCAGAGCAAGACAGAAGTGGAATGATCAACACAAGACACACTGTCAGCACACGTATGGAGAAAACTGAGCAACAAAGAGTTCAGAGAAGTGGCAGAGGAACTCTGTTAAGAGAAAGGGCAAGCAGAAATAGCTGCAGTTATCAGCAAGACTCAATATTACTTCCATTTTCTGTGAAATCCTTGTTCTTAGAATCACAAAATGGCTTGGGTTGGAAGGGATCTTACAGACCACCCAGTTGCAACCCCCTGCTGTGGGGGCTGGATGCCACCCTCCAGATCAGGCTGCCCACAGCCCCTCCAACTGGCCTTACTAGCCTCAGTTCCATAATATTTCATGGAACATATGGAATTACAGACAGGATCAGCATCAGAGAGACATTAACCCCAACACAGCACATCCTGCAGAAGGGAAGGACACCTGCTTCCAAACTCAGATGTGAACCCGGCCTTCTGCCAATGAAATATTTTAAAACAGCATTTAGAGTAATATTTTCATAGTAGAGCTGATCTAAAATGAAGCTCTGAGTAACTTCACAATAAAAGGTCAGACAGGTTGCAGATGTAGTCAGTGGAACTTCATAAACTCCACAGATGTAGAATGACACTGTCCTTTTACTTCCATGCTAATAAGCCACTTAAAAATGCTCCACAGTGACAACCTTAGAATTATCTTGTCTACAATTGCTCGCTTTTAAACAAGGCTCCTTTGGCATACAGCTTGGTTACCATGCAAATGCACTGACTGATGTCTTTTATTTCATTTCATAGGTTTCCCTATTAGTCACAGGCCATTTACATAATGTGATGGAAGTGGCACCTTTGTGGAACTGTTCTCTATGCAGAATTCACTTCACCCTCACACCTATTGAGGAAAACTTGCAACTTCACTTAGATGCTTTGGCTGTAACAGTCAGAAGAAACATGAATTTATTCTTCCAGCCCTGAATGGATACTACAGTCACAAAAAGCTGACAAAGTTTGGGATCCCCCATAGAAAACTGCTTACCCAAATTTGCCATCTCATTTCAGACCAGAGACATCTGCAGAGACATCTTGCATTGTCCCAGCACCTACAGATCTCACCCTACCCATCAGTCCAGGCCTACCGACCTACCCATTGTCAGGCAACAAATGGAAGCCATTTCAGAACATCATCATAATTTGTAAAAAAGAAAAACCTCACCATGACTGTTTCTGCCATCATGCTGCTATATTTTCTCAAGTGGTTGGCCAATGGAATCCATTTAAACCACGTCAATTGTTGTGTTGGAGTGTGAGGTTTTTGAGGTTGTTGTGTTTTGGTTTGATATATAAACGCAGCCACTGTTTTATTACACGTGAGAAGTAAGTCTAGACAAGAATGAAATTCAAGAAGTTTGCTGTGGATCGAAACAAGAAATGAAATCCAGAGCAGTCTTTCGTCTCTCCAGAACCAACTACAACAGTCTCTCATTCTTCTGAAATTCCCCTCAAAAACTTACTTAGCTGCCATCCCTTTTAAGGGATTCTGCAGGAATTTAACAGCACCTTGCTGCCCTCACCCCCTTCCCATTGCTTCTTGGATGGACGCCAGCGTGAACCTGGATTCCACTCCC